TTTGGCGCGACATTGTTACTCCTTGTGCTGACTCCTAGAATATCAGCTATTGTACATAAAGTGTTATAACTTTGTAGCCATAGTGTCAAATATGTTCAGTCGTCTGAAGCCGCTGAATTTTAATTTGATGATGAAAACTGTGCTGCGATATGAAACTCATCATTAACTTCTAGGAATCCTTTTAAAAAAAAAGGCTGACCTCCCTCATTCACCAGATCCTCCTGTAGCCTAGGGAAAGGTTCCCTGAGCTGGGAAAGAGGAGACCAGGAGTTCAGGTCTCATCTAGATGCTATTTAAATTCCTATGAGACTTGCTAAACTTATTATTAACCAAGGGGGCCTTGAACCCCAATCCAGAAGATGGGGGGACAAGCTGTTGAAAATTCCCTTCCCCCTGTTTTTAAATAGGTTAGCAGAAGGCTTGTGCAAAGGCACTGTGAACCCAGGTTTCTAATGTGACATTCCCTGCTCTTATCCACTGTACTACACTGCCTTTCAGAGTGACTAAACCAGTTTAGCTGTACTATTTCCACCCACTATAAACCCCACTCTTCTTCCGGAGCCAGGGATAGACCCCAGGATTCCTGATCACCAGGATTCTGCTGCTGACTAGTAAATAGTTGTGTAACCCTCTAGGATAGTGTACGTTAAGTCCTTCTCCAGGCTGATCTAGAAAGGGACTGGCAGTTACTCCTGTAGTTCAAATAGTAAGGACCTAAGCTGGAGCTCTCAAGGTGTAGCAGTTCAAACCTTGCTGCTGATCTATGTGGAGGTACGGTTGTGTGTGATTTGCTCTGTGAAAAGACCACTTTAAAACAGTATTGTAGAACTTAAACTATGATAATTTGTAGATTGTAAATGTGTGAATCACCAAAACACACATTTCACCTTTCACTCATTTATTGCACATTTAACTTCTGTCACGCTCCTGGCAGGTGTATCTGGGCTGTATATCATCCTCTGCCCAGTCTGCAGAGAATGAGTGTTTGTGACAGCTTGAGAATTTGGCCCTGTACCCCGCACAAGCTGTAAAGACTCATGCTTTCGATTTTGGAGATCATTGTTTCAATACATAGGCTTGGCCAACGTGGCATCCATCACGCTTGCAGGTCTCTCGTGTTGGTGGGTGTGAAGGTTGAGAGGTATGCTTAATACTGGCATGTGGGGCGGGGGGAAAGCAATAGGCAGATTTACTGGTATAGTGCTGCTGCAGCCGCTTGTGGCTGTGTGTAGTTTCTGGAGTCCATGAGAGCCTCTGATGGAGTGTTTTGGGAAGTGAGTATTTACATAGACTCCTTCATAGAAGTTCCCTACAGCTGACCACTGCAAAATCTGGAGGATTGCGAATAAGGTGTTGCAGGCACACAGTTTACTAAGGCATATCAGCCTTGAAGCTGCTTCTGAAGACTATGCACCTGTATAAAAAAACTAAGACATTAGTGAACAAAAATTACATTTAGTGGCATTTAACACTGCAGCAGGGCACACTCCAGCCATCCAAAACTTTAGAAGCATGGAAATAAGTTATGGGGAAAGCACTTCTTTCTACCTGCATGTTGCAGACAGCACTTCACTTCATTGCTCCATAAGGTTTCCATCTCCCAACAGATTCCCACAGTAATATATACCCCTACTTGATCAAGCTTGAGTGACCTCAGCTGTGTTAAGGCAAATTAACTTCCCCGATGCTTTAAATGTGACAGTTGTACTCCTCTGTTCATGTAATTGATATAAAAGCATATGAGGTCACATGCACTTTTGTATTAAAGTGCATGTTTGATCAAATTGGGGTAATAGGCTTGTGAGGCTCTATTCCCCCATTAATTAGACTGGCTTCATAGCTTTTCAGACTCTCTGATACTCGTGTGTGGAAATAAGTGCATTGGCAAAAAGATTTTGGGCTCCAACCTGTTCAGCCTGTTCAGAATACGGTTGGCCATTCATTGCTGTGATAAATAGGAGCAGCACTCTTGCATGTGTAGACAAGCTCTGTGTAAGTCCTAGATATTGATAGCCTCAGAATAAGCAGAAGGGTTGCCGAGCCCTTGCCTTGCCATTTCATACCATATTGCTGAAGGAGACCTTTCACCTTTGGAAAGGAGTCAGGACTTGTGGAGAGGAGTTGATAAGTTCAAGAACACTTTTCCTAACCCTCAAACATGTAAAGTTGGCTCCACCGGCAGAGAGAACACGTGGCCCTCATCATGTTTTTCCATTGATGCTGAATGCAAATTGATTTTGCTAATTAAAAGTGTAGCAGCTACTAGGTAAGGAGCCCTATTAAATGAATTGTAATTCTTGCCATTGTATTTAAGGTTCTTAACTTATATCCACATTTCCCAAACTTATGAAAGTTGAGCCTCCCTTTGTGGGGGAAAAAACCCCCAAACGTACCTCCTGCCCCAACCCCCCCGAGGATGTTAAAGGCCTACTGTTCCTTTTAATATATAGATCTTCATGCACCACCACTTCTCCTCTTCCCGCAGGGAAGTACTGGTGTATATCTTGACAATACATTTCCCCTCCTTTCTTGCATGCTTTGAGCAATGTTGATATTTAAAGTATTCGAACTGGTATTTGAGTTAATATCAGTTGAAATGAATAGGACAGTTCACACTTTAGAATTCAGGCAGAAATTACTGCATCAGTTAGCCTTCAAAAAGTGATCCAAGTGTTTCTCCACAACCGTAACAGCTAGAGACTTCTTGTTTTTATAGACACAGCAGAAATGCTAGAGAAAATTTGAAATCTGTCTGCGAACCACTCCCCCCACCCCAAAATAAAACAAAAAACACCCTTTCCCAGGGTAGCATGTCTCACATCTTAGAAAATGTAGACTTACATTAAGTTCTTTCAAGTGTTACATGGCTTTTTAAGTATAATTTTAATAGTGCCTTATTACTCTTAGGGCCTGTCTGCACTGCCCTGCAGTTCGGACTAAGGAGATGTGAATAGCAATGCACACTAAAGTGGTGTGTTATTGCTCCCTTATGTGGACACTGGGCGCAAACTGAAGAGTCCCGAGTTTGCAGCAGAACTTTTCAGTTTGTGCCTGCAGTATCCACACCTGGGAGTTACAGCACAGCATTTGTGCACTGCTATTCACACCCCATTAGCCCAAACTATGGGGCAGTACAGACAGGCTGCTTGAGAAGTAAGCTGCTTGCTGCCAGAGGACCACCCTGAAAGGTGATGGATGTAGAGTTGCAGAATGGTGGGGGAGGTGAGCCAAATACAGTATAGTTAAGGTCAGAAGTCTCGCGCATATCTCTATCAAATGAAACAGGAGGTATTAGTATCTCTTCAAAATTTCAGATATGTGCTTAAAAAAAGTTTCTAAAACTATCTAAAATGAGTATTGAAGATCTAGGCAGAGGCTTGTAAATGTACATTTGGGCCTACAAATTTACCCTAATTGTGAGCTCAATTGTAAAAAGTGAGTGTATGTTCATTAGATGTCACAATAACCTATGACAACAAATATTGGTGGGAAAAGGTGCAAAAGTGGGACAGACTGAATTACACCTCTACCTCGATATAACGCGACCCGATATAACACGAATTCGGATATAACACGGTAAAGCAGTGCTCTGGGGGGGCGGGGCTGCGCACTCCGGTGGATCAAAGCAAGTTCAATATAACACCGTTTCACCTATAAAGCGGTAAGATTTTTTTGGCTCCCAAGGACAGCGTTATATAGGGGTAGAGGTGTAGTTCAAGCAAAAAGGTCTACTGATATTACTCAAGGACTACGTTAAGATCATTCTTGGTAAACAAGAAAAGTGTGGAAGCAGAAATCAGTAAACCAAAATTGGTGTATTGGAAACTAGGCCTAATTGTTGGAGAAAATAATGAGGGGATGGTCCATTCCAGCCATCACTGCCTTTTGGTCCTTAAAGAAAGAGACTTTGGGGAGAACAATTGGCCACTGGAGTGAGCTTCACCATCATGGCTACCATCCCCACTGTCTCCTCAAAGCTCAGATCTTCTTTATCCTACTCCTGAAAGATGTCTTGACCAAACCGTGCCAGATGACATTACTACCTCCACCAGTCTCGCATCCCAAACACCATCTAGGATGTGAGATTCTTTTCTCCCACCTCCCCCAATATGTCTTTTTCCTTCCTTACCTTATTTCTTCTCTTTCATATCTCTCACTCCTTTTTCCTTCTGTCTAAGAAGAGTCTGGCTTAGCTGGCCAAGACTGCATGTTTTGCAGCATTGCTATGAACCTGTGACCAGAAAGAGGTAGCTAAAAGCAATGCCCTAAATAGGCCTCTGCTCGTATAAGTTTGCCAGGTCTCGGAGTGAGTAATAAGTCTGTGTGCTGTGTCTCTTTTTTCAGCAGTGAGGATGCATGTGAGAGTCAACACCAGAGACAGAAGCTGCATTTTCTCTCTTTGCTATTCTTTTCTTTCCCCCCTTGTGTGTGTTTTTTGTTTTGTCATCTTCAGAAATGGGATTGGGCTTTAACAACAACAGCAATAATAACTCCAGCCCATCTCAACTAATTTCTTCGTTTTTCCCCAAAAGGACAGTAGTTACCTTCTTTACCACCGAAGAGGCTTCTTTTCCCCCCCCCCCCTTCTAAAAACTCTCAAGCTATAGGGAAAGGGAACAAGCGACGTTGTTAAAATGAGAGCCCTATTTAATATTTTACATTTCAAATGCTTTTACTGTTTTTCCTTCTTCTCTGTATCTTTAATAAAAGGATTTTTAATGATCTGTTTGCCATGGAAAACAGCTGAGGTCACTGTATTCCAAACCTCAAACCTTGTTTAAAACTGTTTTAATGTTGGACAGTCAGGATCACGTTAACACCTTGAACTCTTTTGGCCCCTTTATTACATCTAAATTAATACAATATGACTTATTTTCTTAAATTCCTTACCTGCATTTGAAAATTTCCCCCTAAAGACTAAAATGTTTTTAATAGTAATAAACAAATGTGATGCATATATTAACTAATCAAATTATTCCACTTTTTTCTTTTCAGTTTGTGAAATGTGGGTATGCAGGCTCAAATTTTCCGGAACACATCTTTCCAGCTTTGGTTGGAAGACCAATTATAAGATCAACTGCCAAAGTGGGAAACATTGAAATCAAGGTAATGTTTTTTCCTATAACAGATTAAAGCATTCAGAGTAGTCTTTCAATTGTATACAGTAGAACCTCAGAGTTAAAAACACCAGAGTTACAAACTGATCAGTCAACCACACACCTCATTTGGAACTGGAAGTATGCAATCAGGCCGCAGAGACAAAGCAAACATTCTGCACCAGCGGTTCTCAAACTGTGGGTCAGGACCCCAAAGTAGGTTGCAACCCCATTTTAATGGGGTCGCTGGGGCTGGCTTAGATTTGCTGGGGCCCGAGGCAGAAGCCCGAGCCCGACCTCCTAGGGCCAAAGCCAAAGCCTGAGGACTTCAGCCCTGGGCAGCAGCTTTGGTCCTCCAACCCGGGGCAGTGGGGTTCGGGCTTTGGCCCACCCAGGGTAGCAGGGCTCAGGTGGGTTCAGGCTTTGCTCCCCTCTCCTGGGGTCATGTAGTAATTTTTATTGTCAGAAGGGGCTCACGGTGCAATGAAGTTTGAGAGCCCCTGCAAATGTAAACTACTTAAAAAAAAAAAAAAAAAAGGGTAAGGAAACAGTTTCTGTGCTTGTTTCGTTTAAATTAAGATGGGTAAAAGCAGCATTTTTCTCCTGCATATTAAAGTTTCAAAGCTGTATTAAGTCAATGTTCAGTTGTCAATTTTTGAAAGAACAACTGTAACGTTTTGTTCAGAGTTTCGAACATTTCAGAGTTATGAACAACCTCCATTAACAAGGTGCTTGTAACTCTGAGGTTCTACTGTAATACATAAAAGTACTTTCTCCTTCTTTTATCATGCCCCCTCTAGCAGTCTTTCCTGTGATTCACTGCTCAAGTAATGAGCTTTAGCAGCTGCACCCCTTCGGGGCATGTGGTGAGCAGAAGGGTAGTTGAATGTTACTGGAAGCTGACTGTCAGGGAGCCAGTGTGCATAGGGGGCTGGGGCTCTTAGATCTTGAAAAGGGATTTGGGGAAATGAGGCAGCAGCTGATCAGATGACTGATACTTGCTGTCCAGTCTTAGTGCAAGATCCTGAGACAATGATGAGTTAATGGCTATAGCCTATAATTTTTACTGTTCAGTATACAATTAGTTGTAAGCAAAACCATCTGTGAACTTGTATGAGATGCCTAACTTTGCTTGTATTTATTTTTCATTATGTTTTAAGTACTGATGGTAGACGTAGAGCTTTCCACAGAATAGAGAAACAATCCCTGCTCTGAGGAGCTTACAGTCTAAAAATATTGTAATATTCCAGGTTTGAAAAAAATCTAATCACTAGCATTAAGTTGAAAACCTTCCTTGAGGCATGTGGGGGCCTATGTTTCTAACCCTTCTGACTGCAAAGATACTATTTCAGATTTAAGTAGATGCAGGGCTGACTTCCTGAGTGTGCAGATAAAGTTTGTGTCTTTGCTGCTGCTGCCTCACAAAGCAGAGTGAAATCAACAGAACTCTGGTCAGTTTCACTCTTGATATGTGGAATCCTATAGGCAGCACTGAAACAGTTTCCTGCTGGTGCTTAGGGGAAAGTATGAGCATTAGTAGAAGGTGGCATTAGAATTATTCGAAGGGAAGAATGACAAAAAATGCAAAGTAAAAGTCTAGACCGGAAAGGTGTAAAGTAGCAGAGATCTTTCATTTCTTCCCCTACATCCCTCAGCAGCCAGGAGGTTGGGTAGTAGAGGACTTTTCACCTTCACAGTAGCTGGGAGGACATAGAGGGAGAAAGAGAGCGCTTCTCATTTCTAGAAGCTTGAAGGAGGCAATTGAAGGTTCACATTTTTCAGACATCTACTTGCCAGAAGCTGAAGTGAAAGCTAGATTCCCCAAGCAGAGTCCAAGTACAATCCTGGCAGAAATCCCCTCACCCTACACAGTGGTTAGAAATGTCTCACCAAGGAATTTCCCCTGGAGATTGCTGATATGGACCCATCTTCTTTCTCCTTTATTTCTACCTTAAGCTAGAAGCTTTAGTGTTATGAGTAATGGGTCTGATACATTTTTCAAGCCCTGACTTGGTCAGTGCTGCTAGCCCAGTTTAGGATGGCCTTTGATCATCTGAGTATTTGGTTTCGTATGAGTTGAGGCTCTGGAATGGGGTGGAGAGGAGTGTCATATCTGATGTATTGATGCTTTTTGCATCTAACCCCTTGTATCATGTCTCCCATTCTAAAGATGGAATCACTCAAGGATATTTTAATGAAGAATGGGACTTGGACTCCTGATTTATTTTGTAACTACTTTACAGCACCTGTCTACTTTATTGTAGTTGCTGTAAAACAAGGCCAAAAAAACCAAAAACAGGTCGGGAGAAGCAAACAACCATCCTACAGATCTGTCTTGGATCTTCTTTCCTGGTGCATATGTAGGATAAATTAGTAAGACAGCACAGTGAAACTGTCTGAAGACCATTTTTTTGCCTCTGGATATCATGACATTTTTGCTGCTTTCCTAAAAAGATATTTTTGGCAGATAAATTATACTAAAATGTGAATGGATCAATTCCAGCTACACATTAAAGAGCATTGTGGCTCATTCAGAAGACTCTTGAGCAAAGGAAATTGACAAGAACATCATCAGTTTAGCTCTTTAAAAATATTCAGAAAAACTAGCCAAATTCAGGAACTGAGTGAAATGAGCCCTAAAACAGGGTTTTATAAAAGCAGCCCTTGCCCATTATTCCTGTCAGGAGAGCAAATGAGGACATAAGGAGACACAGCCACATCACAGGTGTATGCATGCAAAGGTGTGGTTTTCACTGGAACAGTTTTCCCCCAAAATTCCAACCAGTTTTAAAACCGGTTGAGCTAAACTGATTTTAAAACTGCTTGAAGCTGTAGTGCAAACCAGGCTCCTGGCAGCTTGAACCAGTTTTACTGAACCAGCTTCTAAACTACCTTCAGCAGTTTTTGAAACTGGTTTGGTAATAATGGTTGGTTTAAGGAGCCTAAACTACGCTGCACTTCCAACTGGTTTTAAAAGAGATTTTGATGGATTCATTTGAAAACTAATTAGAATCTTTAGGGATACTTCCTTGGAGTAGAACAGGCTCAACTATGCACTTTACCCCATTTTTATTCCTAGTCCATGCCCCACAATTTTCTTCCTCAGTTTCTATCTCAGAAATCCATAGAGTGGGGTGTCTGTAGGTTTTGAGTGGGTGGAGAATATAGGCCTGGTCTGCATTGGGGTGGGGAATCGATCTAAGTTACGCAACTTCAGCTACGTGAATAACGTAGCTGAAGTCGACATACTTAGATCGACTTACCGTGGTGTCTTCACTGCGGTGAGTTGACTGCTGCCACTCCCCCATCAACTCTGCCTGCGCCTCTCGCGGCGGTGGAGTACAGGAGTCGACAGGAGAGCACTTGAGGGTCGATTATCACGTCTAGACTAGATGCGATAAATCGATCCCCACTGGATCGATTGCTGCCCGCTGATCCAGCAGGTAGTGTAGACATACCCATAGTCAGCATTCACCCTGTGTTCCTCCTGCTACTGGATGTGGATTTTCTGGCAGCTGCCTGTGCAGAGTACTTGCCCTGATGTTATTGTCATGTGTAAATAGAGCAAGTAAACACACCTTTCTGAAGCTGATATTTTTCTTATTAATATGCTATTGGAAGAGTTGGTGACTGAGGAGACCTGGGTTTTGATCTTGGATTGGGTCACAAGTGAAAATGGCATCCTAGTCCCTGCTTGTCCACAAAAGTACGTATCTTGCAGTGTAGCACAATGGCTGTTAATTCTCCTAGCCCCACTCCAGCACAGCAGGGTACTGCATGGCAGAACTGAGATGCTGAGCTGTGTAGGGAAGTGTGCACAAATCTGCCTGCACTGTACCCTTTTAAGGTCACTGCTATTGCTGTATCACTTCATGAGCACTTAATTCAGTTAGAATGAATAAATAAACAAACAACATTTCAGTTTATGCACTTTATCGATTTGATTCCATTTAGTTATGTAGCTATTCCATAATTCGGAACTACAAAGGAACTCACAAGTTTGTATTTTAGCTTAATATTTTTATAACTGTTATAAAAATTCAACTCTAAGGGTTCGAAGGATGAATATTTTATGGGAAAAAAGAGGTGGAGGAAAACCGGGATCGAGGTAGCAATATGCTGGCATTAGTTACTTCCAAATCCGCCACACAATTGGTCTACTCCAGATCTACCACTCGCATTGGATAAAATTCCATTTTAATGGGATATCAGCATATAAAAGATCTTGCTTCTCAGAAAAGATGCAAAGACACTAGTATATCAATAGCATATTGTGAATAAAAATGAGATGTCCACCACTAAACTAATGGAAACAAGTTAATCGAGACAGAAATGGCTTCTGAGAAGAACAGCAATGTCGTTGACAGTGTTAGCTTGGCCCTAACTACACTAATTCAGAACACTAGCAGCAATACATATAAAGCAGAAAAGAGATGCATGTATTGTGTACTTAAAATAATTTGAATGAGGATTTCCTTTAGGCCTTTTCTGACTCTCTTGCTTCTACCTTCTTTCTTCACCTTTCTTGACCTGTTGAAGTAGAATAACAAAAAGATGGTAAGTGAGGTGCCCCTGTACTGTTTGTTTTCCATTTTTTTGCTTTATGGGACGTAGTAGCTGTTGCATTATTTTGATGCTTTTTAATGTTTTGTCTTGTCCCACATTTTACATTTGATTACTTATTTTCAACTTTGTTCATTGCTTTGATTTAGTAGCAACTAATTCCATAAGAATCTTGTATATTGCTTCTGATTGTGACATGACCTGTAGTTATGTGCAGATGCAAGAATAATTCATTTTTCTATAAGATCAACATGAATTTAATGTTAACATTAGAAAATGCTTTATCTAACATAATAAAATAATGAAAATAGGAAAAGATCATGGCTTTTCCTTGACCTTGTCCTGTTCTGAGGTATACACCATCCACAGAACAGATTTCAGATGTTTCTTCTTTAACTAGCGATTTGTTAAATAAAATCAGAATTTTATGAATTTGTTGTGATAGTACTGATGTTGTCACATGGTTACTTAGTGGTATTTTTGTTGGAGTGAGTTTAGCAAATTATGATCTTCCTAAAGTTTAGGGATTTAGGTTTATAATTTTTACATAAATAGTCCATTCTATGAAAACTGTTTTATAAAACTAAGAAAACTGATTAGGGGACTCAAATTAAAAATCATGTAATAAAATTATTTCTTTACCAGTTACTAGTAACTTCTTAGATTATGAAAACTAAAAATAATTTAAAAGTTCCAGTTTGCTTTTCATTATGTCTTTTTCTTGTTTCTTAGCTTAAACAGAGAATCTGAGTCACCTTCACCTCTCAGTGGCACAGTGATTGGGTTGTAAACTCTGCAGTAGACTATTTGGTCAAAAGCAACCATTTCATTGTACTTAAATATTATAATAATGGAAACACTTATTATTTTGCTAGATTGTAGAAATCCAATCTTTAAAAAGAGGATATATTTTAATTCATTTATTTAAATATGGTGGTAAATCAGGCATTAAGGCTCCTCTGGAAGAAGATGGGCTGTAGTGGGAAGCAAAGGTAACATTTTATTGTACCCACTTGCCTCAGGAAATACCCGTGGAAAAGGAAAGGGTTTTCTTATATAACCAATTTAGAAATGGACTATATGAATCACAACTGGGTAATATGTGTATTTTGTATAAAATATCATACTGGGGTAGGTTTTTTTGTTTTGTTTTTTGATGCAGAATAAATGGGATTTATATCCGTTATCTGTCTACCCTCTTAAAACTTTACTGGCATAGGTTTAGTTAAACCACTTTTTATTTTAATGTTTAGTGTGGTACTTCCAGTCCCTTATTTTCTTTTGCTACTTGTTCTGTATGCTTATGCAGCTCTCATTTTCCTGTTTTGGGAATGTGCACAGAAACTTGCAGCATGCATGGAAAATTTTTCTGCCAACCCCACCTACTATCTTTTATGTGCTTTTTCACATCTCAACCTATTCAAGTGAGTATTTGATGAAGTAATTTTGGAGATTTCAATGAATAAAAGTTTATACATACACCTCTACCCCGATATAACACGACCCGATATAACACGAATTCGGATATAACGCGGTAATGCAGTGCTCCAGGGGGGGCGGATCAAAGCAAGTTCAATATAACGCAGTTTCACCTATAACGCGGTAAGATTTTTTGGCTCCCGAGGACAGCGTTATATCGGGGTAGAGGTGTACTAAGGTTTCTTTACTGTTCCACCGTGACAAAGTGCAGGGTAGCTTCTTACTAAGGTAAGTTTGGTTTAAGGTTATGAAGTCTTCCAAATATGGATTGTCTTAAAAGATCTAGTATGGGTCTCAGCCAGATTAAATATTTTGTGCAGTAAAGCCTACTTTTTATATATAAAAACTAATTTCAGGGCATGGGCCATTAAGTACATATAATCAGATGCAAGTTGGAATATCTTTTATTCTTAACATCAAAAACTGCTAAAGAATAATGAAAATTCTTGCAAACTGACATACAAACTTCATTACTGTAACTTTATAGGATCTTATGGTTGGTGATGAAGCAAGTGAATTACGCTCAATGCTGGAAGTTAACTACCCAATGGAGAATGGCATAGTCCGGAACTGGGATGATATGAAGCACCTCTGGGACTACACATTTGGACCAGAAAAACTTAACATCGACACGAAAAACTGTAAAATACTACTCACAGAGCCTCCCATGAATCCAACAAAAAACAGGGAGAAGATTGTAGAGGTATGTTTCTTGACTTGAATAAGGAAAACCTATTTGTGGGGAGCAGGAATTGATGATGGCAGGCACTAAATTTTGTCTAAGAGGTCACTGCTTTTTTAAAATGTAAGATAACCCCTCAAGGCAACATTCTTCCTCGCAGAGAATTGTTCACAGCCTAGAATAGTCACCTTCCTAGTTTATTCAAGGGCAAACAAGCCTACTTAGTCCTAAAGTCTAAACAGACTAGCAGTCCCATGCAAGCTTCTGTACCGGGAAACCACTGATTCAGGCACTGAAGTTCAAGTATTCCTGCATATCCCATCCCCATTGACACAATAAGATGAACTGATGGCCAATACATAGGAAAGGTCTTCCAAAACCCAATTAATCTTCCTTCACCTCCCTTTCTCAATGACTTAATCCTGCAGTATTCTGAGTAGACCAAATCAAGCAAAGCACTAAAGTTCATGCTTCTCTTTAAGCATGTGAACAGTCCCATTGACTACTGGATAGTGGATTAGAGCCAGCGTTCTCGGCACTTCTCAGGATCAAGCCCTAAATGAATTTGACTCCAACTGGGAGATTAGCAGAGTTTACAAGGGAAATTAAGTTGGTGGCTTGGAAGCAAGGAGTGGTTTACCAATCAGAGTGCATAGTGTTGCTGTAGGCATCTGGGACATACTAAGAAAGAGTTGATTTTTGCCAGCAAATCCCCCCTGCCCTCCAAATCTGTGATAGGTTCTGGGGACTATTTAGTGACAGCCTTTCTAGGATGGAGGTCCTGCAACTAGCTGTTGGGTGCTTACAGTGGGTGAGGTCTTAGAGGGTATGTCTGCACTGCAATTAAACACCATAGTTGGTCTGTACCAGCTGACTTGGGCTTGAGGTGTGCGGCCATTTAATTGTGGTATAGATGGTGTAGACGATCCAGCTCTCGCTGCAGCCTGAGGTCTGGGACCTCCCACCTCGCAGGATCCTAGAGCCTGGCCTCCAGCCTGAAGCCAGATGTCTACACAGTTTTGAAAAGGTAGTAATGTGAGAACAACATAAAATGTGTTGACTTTCTGTCACTTTATTACTCCAGCATCATAGACCTCTGTTAATTTAAATATTCAGTATAGTTTCAAATGTGGCAGAGAATACCTCGGTAATAACCTCTTCTTTCAGAGACTTTGCTGCAGGAATAAATTGATTATTAAAAAGGTGATATTTTAACTGAAAACTTTCAAAGACTCTGTAGAACATTAGTGTTAACGGATATGAAACTAGAGGTTTCGGTGGGGAGTGAGCTCATTAGCATTAGATGATGTCATCTCATAATGCTATGTAAAGCAACGTTAGCTAATAATGTCTGCCTTATCAGGTACATTCATGACTGACTGACTAATATGGTACAATAGACAGACTGAACAGTTCTAACAAATATATGGCTGCCTTCGTGGCATGAATGATTGAATTTCCCCATCAGGTTTCTCGGCCATTCAGAAATCTATCAAGGTGTGGTTGTTTTTTGTTTTTCTAACTTATCCAAAGACTCTCTTGTGATTATTCTAGTACAAAATTATCTTGTTCAAGCTCACCATAACTTCTGAAGTGTGTTTTCTATAGTCTATTGTTTCATAGAATTCATTGGAGGGGAAATTCCAGTACTTTATTACGCCAATTCAGAGAATGTAAACCTTAAATATGAGCAAGGGAATTAAGATTTTTTTTTTTTTTTATGATTCATTCCATCTTTTTTATATAAAAACCTTTATAGTTTTTTGAGTGAAGTAAAAACGTTAGTTCTTTTAATGCCTCCGCTTTTGTACTGGATCACAGTATGATAAAATTAAAACTTTCTAGTTTTAAAAGATAATGTTATAGAAAAGAATCAAAACTTTATCCAATTTTTTTCTATTTTTGAAGCTAGAATGAGAGGTCAATCCAAGATCAGATGAAAGACTTGAGTTAAGAGTTTCATAATATGTAACGAAGCTGTAATAATTCTGGTATATTTATCATGAAATCCTTGGTGCAATGCAACAAATTGCTTCTTAAAGAAATGATTAATTGAAATTAGTTTTTATGAAAAGTCATTTTGACCTTGTGTACTTAATTTATCCTGATAAATCCTAACAGTTATTTTAGTCTGCCTGGCTTTTGTTAGGGCTAGTCTACACTGGCAACGCTAAAGCGCTGCTGCGGTTTGTTTCAGAACATACCTAAAGAGAGACAATTTCAGCTTCGCTCTTCAGTGTAACTAGTTTTATAAGTGTCTTGGTGTAACTTTTGTCTCAACCTCTGCGTATCCATTAAATTCTCACACCTGTAACATCCCCCCTCAGGAACAGCCCAATTGTCTACCTTTCTGTGGTGGTCGTAGAAGCATTCTCTGGCATTGTCACCCCATACAACTCCATTGTTTAGTATTCTGGATCATTCTCTTTTTCTAGCTTCCAATGCTTTATTGTTGGGCTCCTGCCATTCTTGGAGAAAGACATTGGACTGGCAACAAAACAATAACTTTAATAGAAGCAAAGATTTATTTTGAGAAGAATATTCTTGTCGCTATTTGGCCATCAGATTTGTCAAATGTGGTGTGTGCCATTCATGTGGCGAGACTGCAATTATAGATGTCAAACAAAATAAGTTTAAAATGTCTGAAATAAGCATAGCTAAAAACAGAAACCTTATGTGTTTAATGCAAAAAGTATATCTTTCCAGTAATATCAGGAATATAGTGGAACGTGCGAACGCAGTAACTAATCCTGTATGCATATTCTGGTTATGGGCAGATAGAAGTTGTTACATACCTTTCTTGCATTACAATTTTGGTTCATTTTATGAGCAATAGAATTCATACAGATTGGGAACAGCAGTAATTCTATGTCAGTTGAGGTCTAGAAGCTCAGATAGTTTCTTGTTTTGCTTGCTGTTCTTTCCCACGCTCCCTTTTGAGGTAGAACACTATTTCTGCCTTGTAACTTACTAAACTGCTGTGTTTGTGCACATTAGATCATGGCAACTACAGAACCTTACCCCTAATTTGTAGTATCTTGCACATACCTGAATGTGCAAGGTGAGTAGGTATTCTACCAAACTGTCTTCCATGTCACTTAGTCAGTTTTTTTAAGAACCCTACAGCAAGGTGCTCCACAGCCTGATCTTTGTACATTTCGTACTCGTTGACTTCTGTCTTCCTATCTATCACGCTCACGCAAGTGTTTTGGAAAAATGTATGCTGGTCTTTCCAGTATTTTTTGCAGTGTGCTTGGGTTAGCAGGCTTTGGATAGTCAATTTTTAATCTGTCAAGATCTCTGCAGCCATTCCTAAATATGCTGGTATTAATTTATTTTTAAAATCCAACTAAGTGTCACAGCGTTATCACATTGCAGAATTAGCCTAGTTACTGTAAAAAAAAAAAAAAAAATGAGGCCAGTAAAAGTAAATTTTCCTCAGTTCCTTTCTTTGTAGTGTTGACCCTGTGAGGGATGTGTGTTGAGTTGTTCTGGGGGGTTTTTGAGTGGTTTTTTGTTGTTGTTGTTAAATGGGGTCTGTAACTCATGGAATCTTTTACTCTCATATACAATAGAACAGCAGTAGTATGGTCTGGGGGGAGATTTTCAAAAGCACAAATGGCAGTTAAGCACCTAGCTGCCATTTATGCCTTTTGAAAATTGAGAAAGTAAAATCTGGGAAGAGAGGTCAAATGGGAGTTCAGTAGAGTCTGTAGAGGGGTTGTTAATGTTAGAGACTTAATAGAAGGAGGAGAAAACATGGTACAGTACTTTATACAGGAGAAATCTGAAGGCTTATAGAGTAGAACCTCAGAGTTACGAACACCTCGAGAATGGAGGTTGTTCGTAACTCTGAACAAAACATTACGGTTGTTCTTTCAAAAGTTTACAACTGAACATTGACTTAATACAGCTTTGAAACATTCCACTATGCAGAAGAAAAATGCTGCTTTTTATTTTTTTAGTAGTTTACGTTTAATACAGTACTGTACTGTGTCTGCTTCCTCCGCCCTCCCCCCTTGTCTCTGCTGCTTCCTGATTGTGTGCTTCTGGTTCCACTTGAGGTGTGCGGTTCATTGGCCAGTTCGTAACTCTGGTATTCATAACTCTGAGGTTCTACTGTATGCCAGAGAGTGGTGGGGGCAGGGGAAAGAAAATACACTTTCAAAAAGAAGGCCCCCTTAATTTCAAACTTGTTTTAAAACATTTAGACATATTTTGCAGATCACTAAAAGTATGCCCAATTCTTCAGCAAAAAAGCTGTGAAATATGATTGTAGGTCTTAACCTGCCAAGGAACAAATTTGTGAAACTGGCCAGTGTTTTAAATCGAGCAATGTTAACAGCAGACTTTTTGAAACAGTGCCAAGGAGAAGTTGGAAAAAGTCAGTGCTTGATTCATTTAGATATTTTAAGAGAAGTGAAATGTCATCTTTTCTTGGAGCTGTTTGTTTTAAATAGTCAGCTGTCAGAGCATTTCTGGTTTAACCAGTCTGTAATGCTAAAAGCTACTGAATTCTTATCAGTTTTTTCTGCTCTGGTAAAAGCATATTGAGACAAGGGGAAGTGGTCAATCACTTGTGACTCATGGCTGTAATAAACTGCGTGTTTTGTTCACTCAGCCTTTCTTGCCTTCGCTGTAAACTTGTCAAAGAACTACTCTGTGAAGCACTGTCCTACAGTCTGTGGAGTCTGTTTCTTTAAATAGTCAAATTGTATTTAAAATTATAAGCTAAAGGCAAATTAGCAATAAACTATGTAATTGTATTTTAATGGTTAAGGAGAGCTAGAGCACAGGATAAGAACTCTTTCTGATATTTAACTTGTGTAAGTTTTGATGAGTGCTGTTTCTTAGAACGATACACGTTTGCAAGGTATAATTAAATATTGTGGTTATTTAGCCGTACCATTTCAACTGTGGCTGACTTTAACAAATTGCTTTTTTAAATCCAGGAAGTCTGTGTCATTTATACTTGCCTATAGCAGCCGGATGTTAATGTGTTTTGAAAGAAAAGTTACCTT